TCAGTGATCTAGGAGACATCCAGACTCATGCACGGTTATGGATCACACCTAAGAGCACCATTTCAGAGTCCACCTGAACTGTACCCCAGAACACCTCTTCCAAGCAGTTCCAGCCATGGTATGCTGAGCCGTGCTCAAGCATGATATGGAACAATCACACTACACAAAGGAACTGGACTTTTTAGGTGAACCATGCCCGAGTACGATTCATAAACCTAGGAGTGTATTTATTTATAAAAAAAATATACATCCTGTAAAATTGTATGTACATTCATTCAGTGCAATGGGCAGCAAAACCAAATGTTGATAAGCAGTTTTCACTCCAGGTCAAATGTTTTTTATTCATACAGAACAGAGTGACTCAGGAAATGATGATGATCATATTTCACTTATTTCCTATGGTCATCAGCGCCATCAAGTGGCCATAATTCAGTATTTTTCTGATTCATTCTATTATTATGAATAAAAAAAACATTCAACCTGGAGGAAAAAATAGCCTAACATTCATTTTCCCCCATTCGCACAGAACAAATGCACATGCAGTTTCATGATTAGCTCTGCAGATTTTTTATAAATACACCCCCTAATGTAAGTACACCCTTAGAAATTAAATGTTGTAACTACTGACCTCAGATATGATAAAAAAAAAAACAACCAGATGATAACCGGTTTAATCTCAGAGTCCATCTGTGATTTAGGCACTGTTGGGCTTCCACTTAGGTTATCTACATCGCCATATTATTGTCAAACACTGGGGGAGAAATAGGAGGCAGACACAGAGAAGAAAGTCAATATCTATGCAGAAATATATTCTCCGTCCTTCCAGAACCTGCAGAAAACAGATATCGGAGGAACGTCAGGGAAAAGCCCAATTTTCCTGATGTCTGTCTACAGTAGGTTCAGTATTGCTCATAATGGGCCTCACTTATCAAAGACTGCAATACGGTCTGCCGGTTTCCTTTTTAACAACCAATCAGATCAGTTTATTTTTTTAAACTGGCAATAATAATAGCTGCAAGCTGATTGGTTGCTGTGGGCAGCACACACAGTTGCTATTTTGGATGTTCTGATAAATGAGGCCTGAATGATCACAGATTGAAAATGAACATGTCACATAGCGCTACTATGAATGGGGTCACAACATAATCAACATTTTGCTCTTATGCATATTTTAGCTTCACATTTGGAGATGGCGCAGGGAGATGACAAGTTTAAAAAGGGTGTTTTCATTAATAATAATAAAAAAGAAATAATACACATATATACAGTGGGGAAAATAATTATTTGATCCCCTGCAGATTTTATAAGTTTGCCCACTTACAAAGAAACGAAGGGTCTAGAATTTGTATCATAGGTGTATTTTAAATGATAGAGACAGAATATCACCAAAAATCCTGAATTTTCCCCACTGTGTGTACATGTATATATATTATATATAGACACATATATATGTATGTATGTTTTGGGGGCTTCTCAGGAGCAAGGCCTAAATGCACAGCACATAGGGTAAGCAACAGAGGCTGAGCCATCATAAGTAGAGGAATGAGTAGGAAAAAACTGTTGCCATGTTCTACCAATCATAAAATTATAATTCTGTTCAGCCAGTTTTATAATTCAAATACCAGACCACACAGCCAGGATATGACCTCACTACTTTAGTAAGAAATAGTGCATTGCAAAATGTGGTTGGTACAAAACCAAGTAAACTCTGGGAAATGCTGGATCAAGACTACCCATAGACATTGGAGGATGGTCGGACATACCCCTTGTGACCTAGGACTGCCTATATGACTCCACTTTATGTCTTTATGTATGTCTGCTACCCAACTGTCACAGACCTTGGCTTGAATTCTCAAAGCTATTCCTGTCTTCTGATTTGGTACCTTGCTGCCTGACTGTTACCGACACCAGCTTATATCCTCGACTGTCCTCTGAATTGGTACCCCACTGGCCAGCTTGTATCTTCAACTCTGTCTTCAGGAATTGATGCCTTGCTACCTGGCTGTTACCAACCTCAGCTTTTATCCTCAACTCCTATTCCTGTCTTCTGAATTGGTACCTCGCTGCTCGGCTGTTACCGACCTTGGCTTGTATCCGCGACTGTTTTCTGAATTAGTACCCTGCTGCCTGGTTCTTTTGAACCTCGGCTTGTATCCTTGGCTCTGATTCCTGTCTTCGGAATTGGTACCCTGCTGACCAGCTGTTACCAACCTCGGCTTGTATCCCCAACTCTGATTCTTGTCTTCTGAATTGGTACCTTGCTGCACAACTGTTACCAGACTCAGCTTGTATCCTTGACTCTGATTTGGTACCCTGCTAGCCTACTGTTACCAACCTCGGCTTGTATCCTGTCTACTGTCCTTACACCTGCTCTGGTACCATGGTGTTTCTACACATTTGGCTTCTACCAAGTGGTCTTCAGTTGTTTGATCCATACACCGACAGACAGATAGAACCCAATACTGCCTGCAACACCAGTACTCTTGCCATTCCGTGTCCTCACATTCCCTTTTACCACTTCAAGAGGTGTTGGACAGAAGGTGCAAGAGAAGCCCCTTCATCAACTTGGTCTCCATCAAATACATGACTAGGGCTCCACTTATTTCTGGCAGAACAGCAGCAACCAAGACTGGTTTTCCAACCTGCTTGATCACCGTTACCCCACCTCCAAAATATACATTTCCCCTGATTTGGTCAAAAAGCCAGATTGGACAGTTGTGATCTCATGTCTATGGGCTACCTAAGAGACAGATATGCATCAGGTGAGCTTTGATTTTACCTTAGGTAGACAGTGATCTTCTACCCTGCCCAAAAAAATAGCATAACCTATAACAGTTTAAAATAGATTATTCAACTTTCTGCATTGTCTGGCTGCTGCACATGAGCAGTTGAGATGGCTGTCAGGGAGCTGTAAGAGGGTGCAATACGAAGTCTTTTTGTCAAATGCCCCTAAAAATAGTAACTCCTCTATGTTCCCGTCCTCCAGTTTTCATTTCTCAGCCTCCGGGTTTAGGGTTTATGGGTATGTTGATTATGTTGTGACAGTACTGAAAGTGCCCCCCCGCCTGAGGAAGGAGGATGGTGAAGGCACAGGGTGTATTTATTTCTTCCACTGATGAAGAATTTAGTGTGTTTTGGAAGTGTCATTATGAACAAATAGACCAGATGCATGCATTTTAAAACTAGCACATGCGTTTTTAGACATTTTGAATGTTTTGCATACATGCTGCAAAGGATTCCCACAATGACTGGAAAAAAAGAACAGGTCAATGAGCCAAACAGGCAACATGACCATGTCTTTTAGAACATGACCAATGCAACACATAAATGGTGTATTAAGTAATATTTATTTTTTGGGTGTCCCATACAACAGCCATTTTAGGGTCACCTTCATTGACTTAAAAAAAATGTCCATTTCATAGCTTCCTGCTCTATCAAGAATGGACAGATATGTAGTCCAATTAAACTATAAGTACAAATCATTAAATGCTGTATGTTTCAGGTTCTTCAAAACAAGTGGTGTGTGAAGTCTAAGGCCTGCTTCACACGTACGGCAGCTCTAAACACACCTCTGAGAAGTGATCATTGGTGAATCGCCTTCTTAGAGGTGGTTTAGAGAAAGTTTACAGGCATTCAGGTGGCAATACTGCTGCTTTTTTAGATCCCAATGGGGATTTTACATTGAAATAGTGAGCATGCATCAATGTACCAAGTGTTTGGCACAGGGTTGTGGCGTGGTTCTATTGACTTCAATAGATGCATTTGGCAAGCAACTCCCCCTGCCATGCGTGAAATGCTGTGTACAATTTGCTGGCACCACACCACAAAGTGTTACGCCGCAAAGTGTATAGGCACCTGAGCCTTGCCATACATATGAATGAGGCCTTGTAGTTTTTTTTTTTTTTAAAGCAGCCACAGCCCATGTAGAAAAGCCCATCTCCTGCCAGCATGCTGCAAAGAAGGTTACTCCTCTCTATAGCAATGGTCTCTTTGCATAGATGCTTAGTTATTCCTTTAGCTCTCCAATCAGCAAAACGTATGCTTCCTGCTGAATGAAATGCTTTAGCTGTGACTAAGCAGGGGGAGTCTCACACCTCTGCAGAGAGACCACTGCTTCCACACAGACAGCAAGCTGGCACAGCACAGGCTTTCCAACTCAGGCTGTGGCTTCTTTTAAACCAATTGAACTGTACTGGCTTTGTACACCTTTTGTGTTGTTGTACCTGGAACACATTTAGCCAATTTAACCTGAAAGGTCATTTGGTTTTTAATGGGACAGGAGGCTTTGTTGTCAAGGAACACATCACCCTTCCAAAATACCCTAAAGACTTAAAAAGTGAAAATATATGTAAGGCAGTACCTACCTACTACTATATAGCAGACCTATACTGTCCTATAATATCTACATAATCACTCCCCTGAGTAATCATAAAAAAATGTATAGAGATATCAGCCAAACACACCTTGTCTTGGTTGTGCCAAATTCTTCTCTTTCGGTGACCACATGGCCATTGCTCCTTTGGCCCAAACCATGTGATCACTGTGTTGGCACTGGAGTAGAGAAGACTTTGGGGTGCATGGTATTTGATATTTCTGTAGACTCCTGTATAACACAAGCATATGTAGACAGTATATGTCCGCCTTCATGACACCGTAGCGCTATGCTTATTAACAAAATTCCTATATTGTATTACTGACCAGATCAGATGCATACAAGTCACAGTCGCAGTAGGTCAAAAACGGGTATACAAGTATTGTTACTTAGCACCGTAAAGTATCAGGGAAAGCAGACTCCTCCCCCTGCGGCTGACCGGCCAACATTAAAAGCAAATATACAATTGTGTCTCTCGCCGCTCTAGTTGGGCCCACAAGGTTTTCGCCTGTTCAAAGCTAGGCTGGCCGAACTAGTGCCAAAGAGGTTAATAAATACTGTCTCTTCTGAATATATAAAATATAGAATCTGGTGAGGCAGGGGGGGGGGGGGGGGGTTGTTGTGCACGCTATCGGTTCTCGGATGCCCTGGTTCGCTGCAGGGAGTGGGAACAGGAGGAGCAACACGCTTGCTTGTAGTAGGCATAGACGCAGAGACGGGCTTGGACCACCACTGCGCAATTGTGATATCGATCTCGGCAGTTCTCATCTGGATGGAGAAGACAAAGATTTCATTAATAAATATTTTTTAAAAATGGTTTGTGGAAATAAGTCTTAGAAAACAATCTGTGGGCATGTCCATCAGTTGAAACTGATTACAGAGTATTAGAGAAGCCTGTTTACTGTCAATCAATGGGGCTAGAAGATAAAGCAAACAAATTATTCAACATATGAAAGTTAAAAAAAATTAAAGAAATTGAATATCTCATCTGTACAACCAAGACAGTATCTGTCCATTATGAAACAGGATGAGTGACATGAGACCACATGGAGTATGTGACAGTGATAGAAGAGGTCACCATTCTTGAGGAATATAAGAAACCAAAGGGCTTCAGCTCATTTGAGCTCATCAACGTCCACCAAATCATTGACATGTTAAATTGTACCATCATTTTCATTCAACTTTTGGGTGATAAAATAAGAAAAGGAGCCTCAATACCTCATAAATTGGGGTCTCTTATTGAGCCATCACAGAAGTTTCAAGGTTGCCACCCTCTTCCCTTGCCTTCCTATTGGCTGGTGAAGCCATCATTTGCACCACTTGAGAGGCAAGAGATGTGGGAAGGGCCACAATATGACCACAAGGCTCACTATTTGTATAATAAAGTGACCTGGTTTTTAGGGGTCACCCTGGTTACAACCAAGGGTAAGTACAGCCTCCTGGAGGTTCTTCATCATCCCTTGGCAGTCAATGTCAATGCTTCCGGGTGACTTTATATACCCATGGTTGTATCCAGGGTGGCGCATTCACCCCCCAATAGAAATGGGCTCTATTATGCAAGCAGTCGCTAGTGCTCCTATGATCACATTGTGGACCTTTTACTTCTTTTGCCTCCCTGTTGGCTACGACTTACAGCCTCATTAGCCAATAGGGAGGCAAGGGGTGTACATGTGCAACCATGACAATTATTATTACTGTTCTATAATAAACAGACCCTTTTTGGGGGGTACAGAAGCTTCTTGCTGTTCTATATTATCCAAAGGCCAATTTACAATGGTGGTACAATTGAATGCATCCATGGTTTCCTGGATGTTAATGGGCTGAAACACTTTGGCTTCTGTTGGTGAGACCTCCCCTATCATTGTCACCTCCTTCATGCAATTTCATGTCACTTTTCCTGTTTGGGCTGGAGGAACCCCATATTGTATTCTATGAAATGTCAAATAAATGAGAATTTAACAGAGGCCAGTGATGGCCATAGAAAGCAGAGCTGGAACATCTGATGTAGAGGTCTTATGGGCAAATCCATTGAAAAATATATGCTGCTGGTGAGGTGGACCTACCCTTTAGGACATGCTGTAGTCAGTAATAAAAATGCAAAATTGTTATATAAGCTGTCATTCCATGCCAATTCCACATGCAGCGCTCATGGTTTATGCCAGTGGTCAACCAAGTTAATAGGGTAAAGCTGGCCATATGTATTAGGCCGGTTTAGGGTGGAGTGTGCCCATTTTATTCACCCATGGCTATCCCCAAAGGTGTTTAGAGTCCTGGAGCAGAATCCATTTTTGTTACAAAATTTATTTTCTTACCACTATACTAAAAAAACCCCAAAACAAATAAATGTTAAAACAAAAAAGTAGACCCATCAAAATATCAGCCATTGTTAACCTCCTCCTAACAAGCTATCTGTCTTGATTTCATGGTTATCTCCTGGCTTTGATATGTAGCACCCTCCTAGTTTTGGTAGGCTGCTAAGTAAATTTAGTTGGCTCCCCTGTAAGCAGAGGTGCAGGAGTTAATTGCTAGGAACGGTTCAGTGTCTCACAGGTCGCTGTTAGGCTACTTTGTGGAATAGACTCCATCAAGAGTTGGTTCTGGCCAGCTCAGTGGATTGCTTCAAAAAAGTCCTGGATTGTTTCTTGGATACACAGAATATATCTGGATACTAACATTTATAGGTAACGTTGATCCAGGGAATATCCGATTGCCTCTCGGGGGATCAGGAAGGAATTTTTTCCCTGCAGAAGCAAATTGAATCATGCATTGCTGGGGTTTTTTTTTTTGCCTTCCTCTGGATCAACTGTGGGTATAGGATAATAACTTTTTTTTTTTTAATGGTTGAACTGGATAGACTTTTTGTCTTTTTTCAGCCAGACTAACTATGTAACTATGTAACTTTCCCTTGTCTTCTGTAGAGTTCTAGAAGTATAGTGGGAAGAAGAGCAGGGCAGGCAGCCTGAATATTAATGGGTCTCCTGCAAATCCCTGGGGAGGCATGCCCAGTAGGTGGAGGGAAAGCCTATAAATCTCTAAGGCCTGGCAGCCTAAGAGCGCAGTCCATAGTCCAACTATCTGGACTTAGGGGCTCTGCTCCTGGAGCAGACAAAGACGAAGGAGAGAGGCCTTAGGAGTCCAGTGCAGCCGTTGAGGTCCCAGTTAGGAGTAGCTGGGGATCCTACCAAAGAGCCAGGAGATCTGGAGTGAGGAGGCTTTATTTTTCTGGGACTGTGCACTTGATCCTGCCATTCAAAGGAGAAGTGACTGTGGGGACTGTGGATGCAGCCAGGTGGGGACTGTGGATGCAGCCAGGAGTTGTGTAATTCAACTAGGGGCACACCATATTTCAGCCAGGAGCAGTGCAACACCGATCACGTTGTACTACTATTACTACTAGCTGGGTTCAAATACATTACAGCCTACATTGTACAATACAGCTTGCAACCTCAACGGAGCAGCCAGAGGTTTAGCAATTCTCAAGTGCTACAGGTTTTACAGTTCGGGGTATCCCATGCTCCCATCCCTATCCAAGTTCATCGTTCCCCAATAAAAACACCAAAAAGAAAACCCTAGACTGATTATTGAGCCTTTGGAAGGGTACTGAAAATGCTGTGTGCCTGGCTGTGGGTGCTGCATAGGAAGAATAGGCCCAATTGCCAGCGGTTCCTCCAGGGCTAGCTCTACAGATATCATCTAAAAGCTGCTCTAGAAAAATATGAAGCTCAACCATTTTGACTTCAGGTAATCTGAAAGCGCTGAGGCCAGAGGATCAATATGATAGCATTGAATATGCCATCTCTAGTGGGAGTACAGCAATGGGAGCAGCATACAGGTTTACAATCTCAGGTTTGCTGGCACTTTAATACTCTGACTCATATCTGTAATGGTGAGGATTGGGTGTTAATTTGGACTATTGGTGATAATGGGGGTTTAGTTCACCAACCACAACTACCAATCAAAAGAAGTTAAACTGGAAATTAAAGTGTAACTCTGCCCTTCTTTGGATTTTAAAGCAGATCTAAACCCAAGAACAAAAATGCCATATATTTCAGCCTACCAGTCCATAGATGTGATGGCTGTATTCATTTTCTTTTTTTGAGGCTACGAACACTTTCAGCAAGTACAGAAAATACCTGTAGATCTTACCAGAAATGCAATGTGCTTGTAAATTCCCATTAGCTTGAAAGAAAGCAGAAACATTCTTATCTTTCTTGAGTAAACTACTAATCTCCTCGATCCACCATGTTATGGAGATGAACAAAAGGTAGACATGTGTAAAGCTGAACTCCAGGGAAAACACAAATGTACCCTTGCAGTGGGCAGCAACTGCACTGTCAGGTTTAAATGCCAATTTATTCCGAGGGGACCACAAAAATCACTTTCACTTACCTAATCCTCTGCTCTGGTTGACTCCTTTGGGTTTCAAGTCTAGTCCCCACAGCCTCCCAAGCTCCAGCGGCTGTATATCCTCTGGCACCATGAAGATCAATGGAAAGCCCATAGCTCTGCACTGGGTGTGAGGGGGTCTAGTGACAGTCCACCATTAGTAGAGGAAAGCGCCTTCACCGGGGTAGTGGAGAATTGGGTAAGTATAACTACTTTTTTTCAGCCCTCTAGACCTAAACGAGCATTTAATCCTTTCAGTGCAGCTCCACTGCAAGGGAGCATTGTTGTTTGCTCCGAAGATGGACTTTACAGTCCAACCTGTGTGACAACCATGGTTCAATCCCTAGATACAGTGGAAGATTGAGAGTTGCCACAGAGCGACAGAAATGTGTTATTTGCAGAATTACCAGGTGAAAATAAAAGAGAAAACATCCTAAAAAAATTACTCCAACACATCTAGAGACTGGTAGGCTACATTATATTACATTTTGTTTTTGGTTTTAGCTATGCCTTAGCTAACAAGATAGTACACTGTAAGGATAGTATTGATTACCTATTGTATTTCTTTCACATCAGTACAAGCTTTTGACTAGTCCTCTGCACCCAAAGGATATGGTAATATGTTGCCTCTGTTTGCTCCAACCATCATCAGCTGATGAAGGTACAATCACTTAGCTGATGGAAACATGCCATTGTCTACATTGGGGTAATGGGGTATAGGCAGCAATTATGGCAATCACCCAAATCGAGGCACTTCCCTTTGGGAACAATGGATACTTCAAAAGTCCCAAAACCATAAAGTGGTTGAGTTACTAAAACTGAAAAGTGCAAAATCTGGCAGCCAATCAACTTCTAACTTCAGCTCATTCAATTAAGCTTTGACAATAAAACCTGGAAGCTGATTGGTTTCTATGTACAGCTGCACCAGGTTTTTGCACTTTTCAGTTTTAGTAAATAACCCCCAAAGAGACAGTCGAGGCAATGAACGCATTTCAGAAAGTCAGTCTCTCACTGTCTTGAATTCATATAACAGATCTGCAACGGTTGAGTTACACTTTAATATATCCCTGCAATGATGGGATTAATGGTAGTCTTATTACCGGCACAAGCAGCGATGGTGAATATTTTGGGCTGCCACTGACACTCATGTGCACCGCAAAGCATTCAGTATTGTTTTATTAACCTCTTAGCTGCTGGAGAGGCCTGCACTGCTCTATCAGTTGGAGGTCGGACAGTTGTCTCGGACTCCTCACCTAGTACGGCGGAGCAGGGCTGCGTGTTGCACGTTCTCTTCTCGTCCGGCTTGGAATCCAAGTCACAGATATGACTGAAGCTCTTGTCGGCTGTCAGACAACGAACCTCCCTTACCTGGATACCACCGAGGCAGGACTGTGAGCACTGCAAGGAGCAAGAAGTGGGGGTTAGTTGGAAAAGGGAAGTTAAATCCTAGAAAAAAAAAAAAACTTGTAAAGGTTATGTATATCCAAAATAATTTTTTTGTTTTGGACAAAGGAAAGGTTAAAACCCCTGCCAGGTAATTGGTGACATTTCCCTTCACTTTCTGTCCCACACAGATGCAACGTGAGGTTAGAGGAAATCTCCATAAACTGTCAGCAGGACAGGAAGCTTAGCAAAATTCTTTAATAGAGAGCTGTACCCTAAAAAGTGTTTTAGCCCTTCCTCACTCAATTAAAGAAAAAAAAAAAAAGGTTTGGCTTGATATACATTAATAATGCCTCAGCATTCACACAGACTTCAGCAATAATCTCCATAATATGTCTATTATGTGTATTTCCTATGGTCATCATCTCCATCTAGTGGCCATAAGGTGGTATTTTCCTGAAATACAAAAATCTAGAAAAATACCACCTTATAGACACTAGATGTAGCTGGCGATTATAGGAAATACACATATTACAAACATTAGGGGGATTATTTGGGAAAGCTATGAGAATGCAGAGTGAATTTTGTAGAAATAGACCAGTTTAAGTGTAACTGTCAGGGAATGGGAAGATCGCCACAGTGATCGAATCTGCACATGTGTAGAATCCTGACAAAACATACAGGCAGGCGGGCACTAGGACCCAGGCGCGCCTGTCACAAATGACGGCGCTGGGCAAGCACTAGGACCCAGGAGCGCCTGTCAGGAGTCGGGCGGGCTATTTTTAAACCCGGCTCTTGCAATGCTCAAGTGCCTGTATGGTCTTATCTGTGTTCCTGTGAGTAGATTGTTTGTTGCCGACCCTGCCTGATCCTGATTTGATGTCCGTCTCCTGCTCTGATCCCTGGCTTTGTCTGACCAGTCTCCTGCTTAACCCCATACGTTCTGACCTCCTGTTGACAAACCCGGCTTGTGACCTGTTTATCCCTCTGCCTGCTGATTCTGTGCTACACCGCCACCACTGTTACCGACCCCGCCTGCCCGACACTGCCTCAGTTACCTCCTCACATCAGACTCTTACCTGCTATACACCTTCAACAGTGCCTCTACCACAGCTGGGTGAACCCAGGGGCCGCGACCTGGTCTCGGCCTGCTCCAAGTCCATCCCCACCATCAGGGGCTCTGGTGAACAAGCAGGTCGGAGCTTAGATTCCGCGCCTTGGGGGATTCCGGTCTGTGAAGTGCTAGAGGCTACCGCTGCAGGATCCCTGACAGTAACCTGTTGCTTTCCTTTGCATGGGCAAAGCTCAGGTCCACGTTTTTGGGTGGCTTTACACTCTCTTATATTATCTGCCACTAAAAGCACCTCCATCATCTCTTTTATTTGTCTATCTGTACATATTTGACCCATAGGTTTCCCAGAGTTTTTTTTATATAAGCAGATGTATCACACTCATGCACTTACTGTGCTCCATGGAGATGTGAACCAGCGGGATCCACAAGGTCCAGCATTACATGACTGCAGACCGGGGGGCTTCTCAAGGTTAGCACACTCCGATGGGTCCGTCACGTTGAATTCAGTCCCGAGTTTGCTGATGCAGATCACATCTCGTCTCTGTGAGCCTTCATCACAGTCCGCTGAGCACTAACAGAGGAATGAGGAAGAATTAGGTCCTGTAGTTCTAAAAACGTGTTTACTTTCCTGAATATCTTCTGTATTTTATGGTTTTGTTTCTAGATAAATACATGAAAGGAGTTTAAATTAGTGGTGCACCAAAATGAAAATTATGGTGCCGAAAACGAAAATTCAAAATGCACTTGGCCAAAAACTGAAAAGCACAGTTTTTAAAAATGAATATATATTTTTTGTAAAAAAAATACACCGATTAAAAAAAAAAAAAAAAAAACAATATATACCCCAATTTTTTTGTAAAATATGAAAGAGGATGTTACGGCGAGTAAATAGATAAACAACATGTCACGCTTTAAAATTGCTCGTGGTATGGTGTGAAACTGCAATACTTAAAAATCTCCATGGGTGATGCTTTAAAAATTTCTACAGGTTAGCAATGTAAAGTTACAGAGGAGGTCTAGTGCAAAAATTATTGCTCTTGCTCCAACGCTAGTGGCAATACCTCACATGTGTGGTTTGAACACCGTTTACATAAGTGGGCATGGCCTACGTATGGGTTCCACTACATGCGAGCACAGGTGGGACGGGGGCACTTTAAACGGTTTTTTTTAAAATAATTTATTTATTTATATTTTTTGCACTGTCCCTTTAAAAAAAAATTTTAATCACTTTTATTCCTATCACAAGAAATGCATGCATCCCTTGTGATAGAAATAATTAGTGACAGGTCCTCTTTATGGAGAGATATGGGGTCAATAAGACACCACATCTCTCCTCTACAATGTAAAGCATCGGATCAAAAAAAAGCATTGATCTAGTGCTTTAAAAAAAAAAAAAATAATGTCTGGAAAAGGAAGTGACATTGCTCCAGGGTCCTCCAAGGGCATAGAGATGAGTGGAGGCCATCTTTCCTTCATTCATCTCTATGTTCAGCGCCGGGATCAATGGTTTCTCAGGTAAGGCTGAGAACTACCAAGCGGCATGCACGCATAAGCTGTCAACAAGAGGGCTACCGGAACCATTCCGCTGCTTTCTGTGTGTGGGTGGTAGGCCTATGGATAGAAGCATTGCTGGGTACTGAGGGGAGATACCCAGTTTTATGTGCGTAAATCCTGATTGGACAATGTTACACTTCTTCATATTTATAAGCACTTACAATAATATGTTTGACACTCAATCGTACCCTTAGGGAAACCCATGAGATTAATATTGTTCTTTCAAGAACAATGGGGTAGGGGTGCAGATGCTGTGGGTTCACCCAGGGTGCGTAATCGAAGTACCAGTCAGTCTACCAGAGCAACCCGCAAGGGATGATAGTTGGAAACTCTAGAGGCCTCCAGTTATCTTTGCTGCAAACTGTAGCTGCAAGAAGTGTTTCAGCGCCCCCGGCAGGTGGTGTGGTCTCTCCCAAGGTGTGGCGTCTAAGTACCAGTCAGTCTTCACTAGAGGATCCCACAAGGTATGATCGGTTGGAACTCTAGTAACCCCGGTTTTCTTTGATGCAAATTGGCACAAGGTTGTGGCCTCAAGATTTCCGCCCCCAAGACAGTGGCAGAAACAGGATAAAAAACAGACAGTGGGAGAGACAGGAGACTAAAGGGTAATTGAATCCCTGCAGGTAGTCAGGCAGTTTGGGTCAGCAAAGAGTAAGCAGTAGATGGGGGAATAGTCCAGTTCAAGCAGGGGGTCAAGGCAGGCAACAAAAGGGTATTCAGGCAGTTTGGGTGAGCCAAGAGTAGGCGGTACACAATGCACTAGATGGGAGAATAGTCCAGTTCAAGCAGGGGTCAAGGCAGGCAGCAAAAGGGTAGTCAGGCAGTTTGGGTCAGCCAAGAGTAGGCAGTACACAAGGCACTGGATGGGAGAATAGTACAGTTCAAGCAGGGGTCAAGGCAGGCAGCAAAAGGGTAGTCAGGCAGTTTGGGTCAGCCAAGAGTAGGCAGTACACAAGGCACTAGATAGGAGAATAGTCCAGTTCAAGCAGGGGTCAAGGCAGGCAGCAAAAGGGTAGTCAGGCAGTTTGGGTCAGCCAAGAGTAGGCAGTACACAAGGCACTAGATGGGAGAATAGTCCAGTTCAAGCAGGGGTCAAGGCAGGCAGCAAAAGGGTAGTCAGGCAGTTTGGGTCAGCCAAGAGTAGGCAGTACACAAGGCACTAGATGGGAGAATAGTCCAGTTCAAGCAGGGGTCAAGGCAGGCAGCAAAAGGGTAGTCAGGCAGTTTGGGTCAGCCAAGAGTAGGCAGTACACAAGGCACTAGATGGGAGAATAGTCCAGTTCAAGCAGGGGTCAAGGCAGGCAGCAAAAGGGTAGTCAGGCAGTTTGGGTCAGCCAAGAGTAGGCAGTACACAAGGCACTAGATGGGAGAATAGTCAAGTTCGAGCAGGGATCAAGGCAGGCAGCAAGCTGAGGGTAGTCAGACAGTCCGCATCAGCAAAGAGTAGGCTGTACACAAGGCAACAGAAGACAGAGTAGTCCGGTTGCTGTATGCTTGGTTGAGAACAAAGGGGATCTGTCTGTCCTGCTTACCTGAGACCAAGGTCCTGCATACCACTTCACTATCCGTTCACAGGGTCCACTGTTACAGACTCTCATGTCAGAAGGCTTTGTTCCTCCACAGCCTTCCTGAGACTCATCTAAGGCCGAACTAGAGAGACAGAAGACTGAACGACGCTGAATCCCCATTCCACATTCTGAAGAACACTGCAAGTGATAAAAATATGAAAATCTGGCACCAAGGCAACACCAAGAAGATTGACAATATCTGAAAAAAAAAATCTATTGGCAGAAGGTTCATGTCAGCTGCACAATATATTAAGATTTTAGAGAAGATCATGACAGATTCTTGCCAGTCTTTGGTCTGCAAATATTAAGATAAACCATTCTGGGGCATTGGATGAAATCTTTTAAAATAAATGCTATGTGGACATCACTTCGTTAATATAGTTCCATACTGATTTTCAGTGTTGCAGTAACAAACACTATGATGAGAAGCACTTACTGTTTTGGGGGGATAGTGGGGGAGGCTTATGGCAGATCGAATGGCCTGATTTGAGTGTGCATAATACACAGGCATGATATTTGTAATTCTTAGAGATGGGTTCTAAATCTAGTCTTACCACCGATTGATCAGTTTGGATTTTCTTCTATGGTTACTGTAATTTAAATATCGTCCTTTGAAATAAACCCATCTGTCAGAAGCGAGAGTTACCATTGGTAACGACTTACTGTAGAGCTCCATTCATTGTGGAACCAGCTGCGGACACATGGACCCATGTCACAGGCCTCGTTGGTTCTAGGTCGGAGGCGGTTGCTGCACTCTCCCTCACCGACTTCATCTCCTTGGCTACTAATGCAGCGCACATTCCGCATCCTCTGTCCAACACCACACATGACGGAGCACTGTGGATATAATGATGTAAAGCCAAGAATGAGCAAAATGAAGGAAAAGAACCTCAGAAGATGCTTGCCCACAAGCACACCTCCCAGAGTAAGCACAACTCTAAATGTGGAAGAGAACGGACAGGTCAGAAAAATACTGGATACCAGATATTTCTAATGCTTCACTGACTTTTTGCCATGCCGGAAAGCAGAGATGAGCTGTCTCAAGATCAGTGGTTCTCAACTACCAAGTGGGAAGTGGCAGCCTCCCTCTTACCAGGTCTACAGCCAGCTGCAGAATCCCTAACTCCGACAGCGCCTCCCAGCTCCCATAGTGCCCCTGACATTCCATAGTGTGCCCCCTAAACTCCCTCAACAACCATGTACAGTACCACCCACCCCCTTCTGTGCCCCAAAGCCTACTGTAGAGCCTCTAGGGCCCCATAATGCCCCCAACGTCCAACAGTGTCTAACACTGCCCACAACCTCTGCAGCACCCACAATGTAATAATAAAAGGTGCAGCACTAAAGATACTAATTCCAAATAATAACTCATAAATGAATAAATTATGATATCAATAAAGTGACAGTTCATGGCAAAGTGCTGAGTATAAGCTGATAATAACTTCAAAACTTCAGTGATGTGCCCAAGGTGTAGTAAAAATACGCACTCACCAGATGCGTATTTTAAATACGCATGTAGGCAATATAGCCAGAGGTCCCCTTAAAGGATGGAATGGACGAGATATGCCGATTACGGATTCTCCTCCCTTTGGGTGGTAAACAGCTATACAGAGGTCTCCTTGGTGGACACAGATTAGATTCAGCCAGAGACCTCCGTGATAGTCGGGGGCTCGCAGAGCAGGAAACACAGGAGGTGTCCCGACGGGCCTCCAGTCCCTCTGAGGGGCGGATAGAGCATACAGTCCCGGCTCCCACACAGCTGTCACACACTGTAGGGGGGAGGGGGGCAACAGCAAAGAGCTGATTCTTCTGCTTCCGCTCATGAAGGGAGGAGGGGACGAATGGGGGTTCCGGTGGACACCTAAACAAGACATTATTCCTCCCACTGACACCACTAGTGGGGCAATATTCCTGCTACTGACAACAATGGGACACTATTCCTCCCACTGACACCAACAATGGGACATAATTCCTGCTACTGTCAACAACGATGGGGCACTATTCCTCCCACTAACACCAGTGATGGGGCACTATTCCTCCCACTGACTCCAATCATGGGGCACTATTTCTCCCACTGACTCCAATGATGGGGCACTATTCCTCCCACTGACACCAGTGATGGGGCACTATTCCTCCCACTGACACCAGTGATGGGGCACTATTCCTCCCACTGACACCAGTGATGGGGCACTATTCCTCCCACTGACACCAGTGATGGGGCACTATTCCTCCCACTGACACCAGTGATGGGGCACTATTCCTCCCACTGACACCAGTGATAGGGCACTATTCCTCCCACTGACACCAGTGATGGGGCACTATTCCTCCCACTGATACCAGTGATGGGGCACTATTCCTCCCA